TATTGTATAAGGTGACTACCTGGAATTTTTCATCGTTTGTGAGAGGTTAAAACCCTTTTTCCAACTCTTATGTCTAATTTCTTGTGCTGATTGCAAAAAATATCGAATTTCGTTTAGAGTACAATATTTGTGACAAAAAGGCGGGAAAAAGATGTTCTTGTACATAATGATGGTTTGATCAAATGATTATTATAATAGTCATGATCTACGAATGTTGCCCAATTGTCAACATAAAACAGACGCTGCGATGATTTTAAGACTCTTTCGAATATTTCAGAACTAATAATAGGCCATCAAAAATCTAAATTAAAGGAATGTGACGAATTACGTTTTTTGACAACTGTTGTATTTTGGCGGGCTTATGTGGCAAACGAAGAAACTGTATTTTGACATGATTTCAGTTGGTTTAGTCTTCTTGCACTTATTTATAAGTATGTTCATCAACCTGTTTCAGATTATGGCCGTAGATGTGAACAGAAAAGCAATTGTACAATAGTGACTATCCCAAATTCTCTCCAAATGTAAATATCTCGTATACTTGTATGGTCCCCGATCCGGAAATCTGTCCGTTACAGGTTTGATTATTATGTATTTGTTTAAGTTTCCGCCCAAGCAGAAATGTTTGTTTAACATGTGCTTGAACTTGGTAAAACCTCACAGGAGTAAGTAATTATTTAAATTCATAAAATTTCAAGGAAAATAATGTTAAGAACATATTTGAATTGTTTTATACCAATGATGCTGCTAAATTTAAATGTTTAAATAATCTTTTAGTAAAATGTCGGTCTGTTCAGTGAACTCATGTACAAGAAACTATTGTTAATGTCAATTAGTATGTTTTTTGGTAAATCTGGATGATATATATGTCATTTGTTTACGATTCTTTTTGAATTGTTTGAAGTTTTTTCCTCTCTTCACGAGGTGGAATGTCGCTTCCAATAAACTCAAACTGGAAACATTACAGTAAAAAATCCTGTTTATCCGGCTAATAGTTTGTATGGATCAAGGTCTCAGGAAACGAAGGATCATGAACAGTGCGGGTAAGAAACTCTTTGATGAATCCGTGTCTCGTCACACAACAGAAATAGCTGCATTGAAGAGAAAGATTGACTATTTTACCTCACAATGTATAGAACAAGGTGTACACCTCTCAGAGATTGAGAAAACACAGGAAGAGCTTAGTGATCTTTTTCAGCAATTTGACAAAGCAGTCCAAACATTTGGACAGTTTTTAGAAGGACAGAGAACCGCACAGAGCGATACTGAAATAAACTCATTGCAACAAATTTCATCGTCTGTAGCCAAATCAGTAGTTCTGTTCACATCTCACATGAACTCTTTGCGCTCAAGGATGCCTCAAACTAAATCACATGCATTTCAAGGTAGCAAAACAAGCAAATCAGGAAAATCAAACTTATCTCGAGTTAGTTCCAAACTTACCCAAACACTCATACAGCACACTACCAAAGTAGAACAAGCCCGTGCACAAATGAAATATGCTGAAGAAGAAGCAGAATTAATCAGACAGGAAGCTGCTATCAAGGCCAGCAGAACTGTATTAACATGTATGAAAGAACTTGAAGCTGCAAAACAAGGGTTAGAAGCTGTACGAAAGGTTCTGGAATTTTCAGATGTTGATGCAAGTGTTTTCGGTGAATATCAAAATCACGATAATGACAATTTGACAGAGCGATATGTGAATGAAAATATGAGAATGACCATTCCTCCACCTGATCCAGTGGTTAGTGAAATACCTTCCGCAACAGTGGTAAATGCACATGATATTGATGTGTCCGAACCTACACAGAATTCATTGAATTTAGTTGTTCCTCAGGTTTTGCAACAGACTAACACAAAGCAGGACACTGCATTTGATCTTGCAAAGGCAGTAGTAAAAAACCAAATGATCCCACAAAGACTTTGGAAATTCAGTGGTGAACCTAGACGGTATATAACCTGGAAACACAGTTTTCTAAATGTTATGAAAGACATTAATTCTAGCCCATTGGAGCAACTAGATCTTTTATTGAACAACCTTGGGCAAGGATTTAAACTGTAGTGTGAAAATATTAGAACTACAAATGCTCGTAATCCAGAGAAAGCTCTCGCACAAATATGGGAAAGACTGGACCTGGAGTACGGTAGCCCTGAAGCAGTGGAACATGCTATGAAGCAGCGGATCATTAATTTTACCTTGTTAATTGAGAATGATAGGAAACGTTACTTCGATCTGTTTGACCTTGCAGCTGAGGTTGAGTCCTTGAAAAGCGATGAATTCTATGGATCATCCTTTGCATATTTTGACTCCTCTACTGGAATAAATAAAGAACTCTTGAGATTGGCAAAAATAGATTGGGAAATTCCAAAAGAGGAAGACGGTAGACCTATAAGAAATGCAGGGTATGCAATGAGGACGACATTCCTTTATGGGAATTGTCAAAACGCCTGAAACAGCGGAAACAGACTAACACTGGACAAGATTTGGACTCTGACAAACTAGAAGACACCAGTGACAGTGAGACTATACAGAGGACAAGCGATGTTGACGAAATGGACATGAATGAATGTTACATATCAAAGTCTCAAAAGAAAACCATAGGACAAAACAAGATTTCAGACTATGGAAAAACATTTAACGCTGAAACTTTAGAAGCTGTTAAAACTATAATTAAATTGTTGCTTCAAGTTATTCCACCTTATTCTATAATCACGTAAAATATTTGTTACAGATGGCAACAAGAATTTTCACTTCGAATCGTACCAGTGGAAATCAGAGAAATGATTAGACGATTTACAGACCAAGCAAAGATCCAGGAATACACAATGAGATCAAAGAGTTGAAAAAGAGAGGAATTTTGAGTCAGCCATTTAAACTCTATGCGTACATAAAAGTAAAGAAATTTCTCATCCTACGCGGGCACGGTGAAGAAGAAGCAGATCAGAGGGCAACTGCTATTGCGTATGAAACGCCATTTTTCGTCAGTATTGCAAAATTGAAAATGGAACTGTTGCTCACAACGATCAGAAAAACAGGAGAATTTATGGAAGCCAAATCGCTCTCCTTGCCATCTGTCAAAGAAAAAAGGAGGGTGAATGAAACCATCGGTTGGCTTGCCAGGGGACTGATGGACCACTCCACAGATGAGGAGGAAGCAGTCCAGATGGCCTTAGGTCTAGCCGGAGAAGCCATCAAAACAAGAACGAAAACTGGCTCATGTATGTAGAATAAAACACAGAAAACTGGCTAATGTGTGTAGAAGACTGGCTCGTGTGTTCAAACTATGTAGAACCGACGCACCTATATATATATATATATATATATATATATATATATATATATATATATATATATATATATATTAATAAAAATCGGGTGTTATCAATTTAAATAAATTTGATGTATTTATAGTATTCAATATGTTATAAATAATACATAAATATGAAAAAAAAAACTTTTTTTTATTCTTTTTCAGGATTATGGATACAAATCCAAATCAACCTATAATACCTGGTAAACCATTAAAATTAAAAGAAATATGTGAATTTCATCTTTATAGACGAATTCGATGGGAGTGGAAAAACCACTACACACTGTATGAAATATATTTTAGGCCTCTCAACACCCCAAAGTGCACTGATTTATTTGCGTGATTTATATTGTAACGTGTAACTAAGGGTTCGTTTTCAAAGGGAAAAGGGTCTTAATGTAGACAAGTATGAATAAAATTTTCCTCTGGCTCTACTTGAGTCTATGATTAACACTGGGAATTAATATTATTTACAATGAATATTGTTGATTTACTGGGTTACTTGTCCCGTGTTCTATTTTCTTACAGTGGTGACACAAACTGAGGTTCTTTCTTACTGGGTTAAATGTAGAAGTGGCTGGGCACTTTGCACTGTGTTCCACAACCAAGTTCTAAGAGTACTCGGTGTCTCACCCTTATCCAGGATTACTGCACCTCGTATCTTCCAATCCCCTGGTTTACTTTTCACGAGTGCTACTACTACTTCCACCCTAGCCTTTCAAACATCTCTCACTATGGCTACTTCAATAATTACCTTCCTTTCTTCTTCAGAAGCTTCCTATCAATACAGACCTCTGACTTCAGAATGACAAATACTGCCTTTTATATAGTAAAGGGCTATACCATCCAAACAGGGGTGAACAGGCTCGTGGACTATACCATTAGTCCTAGTCTCACCTCAGTGTTTGGAAGGTAAAGACCCATTGTATTACTCATTACACTACCCACGCCTCTGTATACTTGCGTCCCGCATGTTTATCGGTTATTTTTTTTAGCAATGAAAACAAGCTAAACATAAAGTAGTTTAAGAATTCCTTTCTTATACCTGGTTAAAATAACATACTAGTAATTAGGTATTTACAACAATAGTCTTATATACATTGTTTCTTTGCCAAAGTACTTCACTATAATTAGTCATTCCAAATGTCTTCCTCGACTCTCTCCACACATTCACCATCCCTCTGATATTTTCTCACAACTCTGACTGTCTTCTGGTGGCAACTTCTGTCCGTCTGAGTGCTAACATCCAACTTAGTGACATGTTCTCTACAGCAGGGACAGTGATGCAAAACCATGGGCGCCTCATGATCCTTACCATCATCTACCAGACTCGAACCTTTGTCCTCAGGTTGGTTAGGCACTTTGTTGTCACACTCGTCTGCTTTGCGCTTGACTCCAGGGAGACTTGGCGAAGTTTTCTTCCTAATGGTTCTACCAACTTCAAGCTCTGTCTCATAAATTAGATCACCTGGATCCTCTTGCCACTCGGAATCAGAATCGTTGTCATCTTCAGCTACGGGTTTGGAATTCTGTGTTTCTTTCATTATCTGGCAAACTAGTAGTAGCTGAGTGTAGTCTTTTCTGGTGTCTCATTAGAAGGGAATGTTTAGCAAATGCCTTGTCGCACTGGTTACACTCGAACCTTCGTTTATTCATGTCATCAGTTGCACACGCTAGGAGATGCTCCTTCCATTACTCTTGTGAAGGGAGGCGACAAAGGCAAATGGAACATAGAAGGCCGGGCTTCCTAGGGGTAACTTTAGTCAAAGGCATGATCTGTAATAAAAACAAAGAATATTGCTTACTTAGCAAAGTACATTTGCTATACAGTATAATTAAACTGATAATCGGAGTGCCATTTAGGCCTCCTGCATTGCCTCCTACTCGTGTATTCAAGTTCCATCTCATTAAGATTTGTGTTGGTTGATATACCCAACCCATCACCCGATTCAATATCTAATTCTTTTGTACTTAAACCATTTTCATTTGCATCATGGTTTTTTACAATGTCCAAATCTTCTCTTACTGTTTCTTCTGCTGTTTGACCAGATTCATCATCACTTGGTACATCTGTTTCAAAACTAAGTCTCTGACATCCATAGTGTCTTAACCTGTCAATGTGGATGACCATGGTTTTCTTTTCACCCACTTTCTGCACCTTGTAGGTTAAATTTGTATGTTTCTCAACAATAACATAAGGACAATACCAAAAGTTCATTAGTTTTGGAGACTTCCCTATACTTCTCTGGGGAATAAGTACCAAAACCTTATCACCAATTTCAAACTGTTTCTCAATGGCATTCCTATCGTGGCATTTCTTCTGTCGCAACATCGACTGATTGGTAAATAGTCATGTATTTCGATGAGCTTCTTCCATGGTATCTCTTACATTCCATGCATATTCGTGTACCGTGGTCCTTTCACGATCTATAGGCAGTTCATACATAGTATCTAAAGGGGTTGAAACTTCTCTCCCAAGCATGAGCATGTTAGGGGTGTATCCTGTGCTTTCATGTACCGCAGACCGGTAGGCCATCAACACATATGGTAAATGTTTGTCCCAATCATGTTGATGGTCTGCAACATATGCAGTTAACATAGTGGCCAATGTCTTGTTAAAACGTTCGACCATTCCATCCGATTTCGGGTGGAAGGCCGTAGTTCTAGTCCTGTGAATACCAAGAATGTTACAAAGTTCTTTAAATAGTCGGCTTTCATACTGTCTACCTTGATCACTATGTATAACTTCTGGCACACCAAACCTAGTAATGAATTGTTCGACAATCATTTCTGCAACAGTTAGAGCCTCCATATTTTTGAGTGGGTACGCCTCCGTTCATTTAGTAAAGTAGTCTGAAACTACAAGTATATACTTATGGCCATCATTGGTTTCTGGTAATGGTCCCATTAAGTCCGTAGCCACGCGTTCCATGGGACACCCCATTTGATCAACCTGGTGATATGTCTTTTTATCACCTATCCATTTTCTGCACAAAAGACCATCTTTAATTTCTAAATGATTCCACTGGGAACATACTGATTTGACCACTTTGCTTTCATGCTTGATTTCGGAAGACTCTGGACGCTTTTTATTCTCTGCCCAGCTTTTTATCTTTGATAGATCCCCATCCTCATCTTGAAGACTTTGCAGAAGAACTGGCACTGTTGATACAACATCTACTTTGTAGTCTGTTTTTAAAATTTGAGGTTCAACAGTGGCAGTTGACGGGTTTTCCTCCATGACTTCAGCATACCCACATTGGTGACATGGATGTCTGCTTAGACTATCAGCATTACCATGCTTCGCACCAGGTCTGTGCTTTATATCTAGGTCATAGGTACCAAGAAACTCTATCCATCTCGCTACCTGGCCCTGTGGATCTTTAAAATTAAACAGCCACTTTAGAGCACTGTGGTCTGTTCTGATAATAACTTTGTGCCCATAGAGGTAATGCCGGTAATGTTTGCAAGCAAACACCACTGCCAAGAGTTCCTTTCGAGTTACGCAGTAACGTCTTTCTGACTTGGACAATGTTTTACTAGCGTATGCTATTACTTTTATTTGTCCTTCTATTTCTTGTGACAAGACTGCACCAAGCCCAGTCTGACTGGCGTCTGTATCTAAGATGAATGGCAAAGCGAAGTCCGGGTGAGCGAGTATTGGTGCATTGACCAAATGAAATTTAAGGTAGTATGGGATACCTCCACGTTATGACGTATTTCCGTTTGAAGTATTGTTTTGATTTGCATGAGTGCTTATTATCGGGTCAAAATTTGTAGATACACCGTTGAAAAGAACACTCTGAAGCCTATTTCAATGCAAGTTCTCACAAGTCGGCATTTTAAGTAAAAACAGACAAAAAAAATCGCAAGTATATAAATTTACTTATAATTGTACAACGGACATTTAAAAAAGCAAACCCCTGTAAAAGGTAGTTTCAACATTGCTGCTTTTGAACACTTTTAAGCAAAAGCTGTATTTCAATTGTTTGAGTAATTGTACAGCACCTTGTGTGCGGTGAGGCATGGATAAGTGCGATTACTTCACATTGTGCTGAATTATCACCAATCAATTATCACGTTAACCAGAGCTGGACTTTTTTGTTATTTAATTCAAGAAGTAACTGTTTGGTCACAAATCAGCTAGCTGTTGTATATAGTCCCAAAACGTTCAGATGAATGCAATTGCTCTGAACAAGACACGTCCTGGAAAGCGATTGTCCATGCATTGTTTTCAAAACCGCTCAAAGTTGAAAACTACAAAGTGCGATTTTTTTATGGTTGGGAAAAAATGCTCATCATTTCTAAAATAGCACCCAGGTTTTTTCAACCCTTGGAAAATAAAGAAGGATAACTCTTCCGCTCGGATCTTTTAATTCAAAAAATTTTAAATGCATTTTATATTTTCCATTTATATACATATTTTCAATTTGTTTATTTCACTTTGCTAACATATTAAGATACATTCTTATTGTAGACTTTCATGAAATGTTATCCGTCTGTTTTCAAGAAATAAAGTTTTCCCAGTTTTTTACGCTTATTTTTTGTTGAAAATTAAAAAAATACTAAGACATATTTCTTGTCATTTTTGTTTTTATAAACACTTTATATTAGCAAACGCCTGCCTATAATATTAAGCTTATGAAAAAAGAATTATGCAAGAAAAAAATCGTTTTTGTATTTCTCATTAAAATAATAAAAAAATTATTAAAATTACACTTTAATATACTGAAAGGTGGGGGTATTTCAAATCCTTCTAATTTGGGTACATAAATATGTAGGAGAAGTTTCGATTGGTATCCCATACCACCTTAAGTTTCTCGAATGCCATTTGGCATTCAGCAGTCCATATAAATTCTTTCTCCTTTTCCGTAAGTTTAAACAAGGGGTTGGCTATAGAAGAAAAACCACTGATAAATCTACGATAATAGCCACATAACCCTACAAATGACCTTACCTCGGTGACATTCAAGGGTACAGGCCATTTGTCAATGACTGAGATCTTCTGAGGATCCGTCTGAATACCTTCTCCAGATACCTTATACCCAAGAAACAACACCTCTTTCTTAAATAAAGAACATTTCGCCGCTTTAAATTTAAGACCTGCCTCTTCAAGTTTCTGAAACACTTGTTCTAAATTCCATAGAGTCTCTTCAAAAGTGCGACCAAATACAATAATGTCATCAATATACACTAAGCAAATCTTGTAGTTTTAGCCAGCTAACACCGTCTCCATAAGCCTTTCAAATGTCGCTGGACTATTACAGAGTCCAAAAGGCATTACTGTGAACTGGTACAATCCGTTTCTTGTTACAAAGGCAGTCTTTGGCTTGTCACTTTCCTCCATCTCGACTTGCCAGTAGCCGGAATGCAGATCCAAGGTACAAAACAACGTTGCCCCTTGCAAACGGTCTAATGAATCATCGATTCTGGGTAAAGGGTATGCATCCTTTACTGTTTTACTGTTCAAGGACCTGTAGTCCACACAAAACCTTTTTGTCCCTTCCTTTTTCTCTACTAGTACCACGCCTGCAGCCAATGGGCTAGAAGAGGGTTCTACAATTCCTTTCTCAATCATTTTCTGTACCTCTTGGTCAACAAAATCAGCTGCATGATGCGGTAACCTACGTGGAGGTTGTTTAGTAGGCTTTGCATTTTCCGTGTTTATTCTATGTTTGATTACAGACGTTCTCCCGAAGTCATCTTTTGATTTAGAAAATAAATGCTGAAAACGAAGGAGTATTTTCTTTGTTTTCTCCGTTTCATCAGAATTCAAATCTTTGATGGCCTCGGAGTACAGCTCTTTAAGGTGTTCTGGAATACAGCTGTCTTCGCAGTCTGTAACGCCTAGTTTATCTTGACTTTCCACAACACGTGTAACAGCCGACGTGGTACCCACTACCGTGTTTTTGTAAACAATCTGAGGATTGCTAGATAAGTTCATTAACCTTACCATGACATCGTCACCAGGGTCAATCAAAGATCTCGCAACCAGAGCTTTACCGCTTTTCTGAAATTTTTCGTACGCCTCCATTACTAATTGTCCCTGGCAATTCATATTGCTAGGGGCAAGTAACTTTCCAGGACATATCATTTCACTCCTTGGTGGAATTGATATTGTCTCTTTCAGACTGACTCTGAAACATCCTAAGTGACCCTCAAGTTGGAGCTCATGCTCAGTTCCTCCAACATACATTTTCCCTGAAGAAACATCCACCAAACATTTATTTTGTTTCAGGAAATCTAAACCTAAGATGCCGTCGGTGCTAATGTCGGCGACAACTGCCTCAAAAGTGAATTCATGATTTCCCAACCTAAAGTGGAATGTGCACTTACCCTGCACTTGCAATGGCGTTCCATCGGCTAGTATTATTCTCTGGGTTACGGGCATTGGCTCGACTGTTTTAGTGCTAAGCATGTTCTCAAATACTTTACTTGACAAAATTGTCAGTGTAGCACTCGTATCCACTAACAACGTACACGGCACTTTATTTACACTGGCCTTTATAAATAACCCAGACTGAATATCAACTCGTGTTTCAGTGATTGAACTCGTATTCGACTTCATATTCTTTGGCTTAGCCTCGGTTATCTCTTTTTGTTCTACTGCCTCCTTTGGGGATGGTGTGCATACATCGTCCTTTTTATAACTGATCTCTGTTCTCCTTTTGACATAACAGTCTTGAGCTCTATAGCCTCGCTTACCACAGTTATGGCACTTAAAAGGGAACTTTGTTTGGTCAGATCTTTGTATTGAACTCGATTCATCTGCTCTTGGTTGTCTACTGATATCTCTGCGTTCGGACAAAGTGGCTAGTTTGTTCTCAAGGTCTCGTAGTGACGACCGAAGTTCATCTCGTAATTGTTTTAAATCTTCTCGTATCTTTGATTCAGCTTCTGTTGGCCTATCTAATTCACTGTGTGCTGTTCTGGCAAAACTAACATCATGTCTTCTTTGGCGTTCAGCTCTACAGAAGGCTTTAATCTCCACAGCAAGCCGAACTGCGTCATTTAAGGATTTTGGCCGCGACTGTTGGATTCTCAGACGCATATCAAAGTCAGTTAAGGCGTCAACGAACTGGTCTTTAGCAATCATCTCTGTGACTTCACGTGGTGCCGTCGGATACGCTACATGTGCTAGTCGTCTTATACTTTCCCCTAATTCTGGCAATGTCTCCTTTGGCCTCTGGTGCTTTTCCTTTAACATGGCTCGGTAAAGTTCCGTCTGATTTGTTGGTGCAAATCTTGCCTCTAACGCTTCACACAAGTCTCTATACGTACAAGCATTACATGTTTTCATGTTCCCCAATACCGTCTGTGCTTGGCCTCTTAATGATGCTGCCAGGTACAAGCCCTTTTGTCTGTCATTCCACATATTGATGCTACTGCATGCCTCAAAATGTGCTTTGTAATCAATCCAGGACCCAGTACCATCAAATGTCGCAGGCTTCATCACAGTTTTTCCAAAAGTGTTACTAGTAGGACAATTTGCACTGCTTTCATTTACTGGTAACGATGCACCTAATGGCGTACTTGGTACAGCAGGCATAGGGTCTCTGTCCTTCGCAAGACTCCATGTAACACTTGTGGGTGTTGACATTGAACTAACACCTAACTTACTCCAGTGTACTCGCGGAGTTGAGATTCGAGGTGTATAGGTATATTCAGATTCAGCCAGTGACACCCCTGAGTACATCGACTTTTGTGTGTCATAAACATCGCTTCTTCCCCAAATACCTTTGTTTCCAAGAACATGGAAATCATAACCTTGGGGTTTATGTTCCTCATATCCACCCATAGCTCCTTTCACAT